AGCAGTCTGGGCTTTCAGCTGCTCCTGAGGCCAATTTCACCGCTCCACATAGAAAAGTCTGCGTTTGTGAATCCACTGCATGTCAAATGCTGGGGCACTTGCCCAAACGATACTATACAATATATATTATGTGTGTACCAGCTACGAACAGCTACAGTCAATATTGGACCCTATCGTTTTTCAGCGGTCCGGTCCAGCTGTCAATGCCAGTCAGATAAAGTCACACTTTCTGCGCCTTGGCCTGCGCTGCCAGCTCTTCAGTCTGATGAATGGTGACTCTGTCAATGGTGAGATTCTCCACCTGTTGACCGCTTCGGCGAGTCAAGCGGCGATCAGCACAGCCAGCCATGCGATACCGAAATGGTACCCTCGAAGGAACATCATGGTAGTGGATTGTCATGCTGCTGGGTATGAGATGATACTGTGTGGAGTTTTGTTCGCATCAATATATAGTAATGATAATAATACATATTGAGAAGTACAGTAGCAAGCTAAGCCTGCTCTAGTCTGTATATTCGCTAGCTTGCCTTGGGTGCATTAACTATGCAACGTTCTTCCAAGCAGCTGTTGCTTGACCTCTCGTTTTTGTGGATCCTTGGTGGGAGCGGAATTCTTGAAACCCCGGTCAACCGTCATCCGAACCGGTTGTGTTCAGTTCCGCCGGAACTTACCTGCAAAGGCGCACTTCGTGCAACCACCTCACAAAGTCCGTGCTGCTACCGACCTGATGAAACCAAAGATAGTAAACCTGTTGCAAGGTGCGTGCTTTGCTGACCGTTGCACTTCGTTGCACTTCGTTGCACACATCGAATTGATGTGTTCACCTTTGGCAAATCAAAATTAGTGCAGTCAATGTGGGCGATGCAATTCATTGCAGGACTGCAGCAGATGCCACAAACAAAAAGGCTTGCAACGATCTACCACAAGCACAACAAATTCTCTGTTGATGGCAGTTCCAAAGGCGTTTTCTTGTGTTTTCCATGCGTGTCCTTTGTTGACCACGTTTTCTTTTGTTGCACGTTTAAAGCTTTCAGCCTCCTTAGTTTGGGTGATTGAGTAAATGCTTAAATCCTGAATGCTGATTATAGCCTAGTACTGTACTACCAAAATCAGAGTTAAGAGAGCAACAAACCCAAATGACACCCTTTCCTCAAAGGCTTGCATATTCGCCTCCTCGCGAAGTCTCTCCAAGGCAGTCTCAGTGTTCTTGAAACGTGCCAAACCACTTTCACCTGGCAGTTTTTAGACCCTCAGGTCTTTTAGAGTCCCTGCAAGTCTAGTGAATCAACTGCTGCAGTCCCCACCTCCATTTGCAACGACCAATGCATTGTGAGCAGAAGTCAGCTCCTGGCAGCGCCATCTGCCCACCAGGTCACCAGGTCTCTTCCAAGTGGGAACGCGTTTCGCGCTGTGGCCTTGATTCATCCAACATCCTCTGCTCCGAGTCATTACAAACAGGTGATATTCCTGTTTCTCTTCAGTCAACCAGGTCCAGCTTGGACACCCTTTTTCGACCTTTTACGGCATCAAAAGTATGGAGAATCCCCAAACTTCAAAGGAGTCAGCTAAACAGCCACAAGTCACCACAACAGGCAGCGGTTCCTTGACCTTTCGTGACAGGGAGACCATTCGATCTTCCAATGAAGAGAGGTGGCTCGCCGCCATCTCCCACCATCCTGCACAGGCCAGGGAACGGTTTTGGTTCTTCTAAATCATCTAAATCAATGTGTTTGAGCAACTAAATATCCATTGTCTGTCGATCCTGCAAACTTTGCTATCCCCTTGCCCTTCTGTTTTTGGGACATGAGAAGGATTGGTCCGTATTTTGCTCTTCTATGCTTTTCTCATATTATTAAAGAAACACAATGGGTTTGCAGTTACATCTGTTCCACGAGGAAATGAATGAGGAAAAACGCAAGGTGGCTGAGTCGGCAACAGCACTTGAAGTGTTGAAACATTGGTTCGAAAAACTCACGCAAGCCAGCAGCTGCAGAACGGCGGAGGGAAACCTGTTTGTGGGGAGAGTATCGTGAGCAACCACCATGCAACCAAATCGAAATTGGAGCAGCTTGATCAAAAGTTGAGCGCAGGTACGTTGAAAGAGCATCCTCTTTCGATATCCTGGTCTGAACCTGGAGCTTCGTTGGCTCACGCCAGGAACAGACCCGTGAGCCCCCTGCACTTAAAAAACTCTTTAGGCCAGAGTATGACACACACAGCGTGCCGATATCGGCGCTCGAAAGAGATTACGAGTCACCTAAAAAGCCTTAGAAAGAAAGGAAAGGAAAAGGCAGAAAGAGAAACGCAAAGGGCAAGAGGGAAAGATAGGTGTAGTTATGAGGCCCACTAGTTACAAAACCTTCTAGTTACTGACTACCTAGCACTCTAGTTACTGAATACTTAGCCCTTGACTTGAGGGAACGGAAAGAAGTGCTGGGTCCGATCAACAGAAGGTTTCAACAAGAATTAGTTACTGACTACTTTGCAGTTCTTAATTAGGTGCACTAGTTAGCGAGCGGGACATTTGTCTTAAACCGCCCGGGTAGATAGGACTAGGACAGGAGAAACAGAAGGAAAGGTACCGACACACAAGTGTGTGTACCCTTTCTTTCTGTTACCCTAGATAGCAGGCGGGATAGAAGTATGAATTCGCGTGCAAGGTGGCGGGGGTGGAAGTGAAAGTGCATGGAAAAGTTCGACTGCAAGTGGAAAAGTTTGGAAAATGCAAAGCTGGAAGGTGCAGTCTGGACACTCTTGGCTGGCAAGTCGGTAGAAAACCGTGAGCCCGGCGGTTTCAATTTTGGGAATACAGTGGTGAAGCGAGAATCCGTTAAGATAATCCAAAGCGTGCAGAAAGCGGCAAAATCTGTTAGTGGTAATCCGGCATGAAGTCAGCGCCCCAGTTACATCTGTTCCACAAGGAAATGAATGAGGGAAACGCAAGGTGGCTGAGTCGGCAACAGCACTTGAAGTGTTGAAACATTGGATCGAAATACTCACGCAAGGCAGCAGCTGTAGAACGGCGGAGGGAAACCTGTTTGTGGGGAGAGTATCGTGAGCAACCACCATGCAACCAAATCGAAATTGGAACAGCTTGATCAAAAGTTGAGCGCAGGTACGTCGAAAGAGCGTCCTCTTTCGATATCCTAGTCTGAACCTGGAGCTTCGTTGGCTCACGCCAGGAACAGACCCGTGAGCCCCCTGCACTTAAAAGACTCTTTGGGACAGAGTATGACACACTCTGACATTGGTTTGCTGTTAACCCAATTCCCAGGTCGAAAATGGTGAGGGAACGGCATGGCGAGAAAGTCAGTTCACTTGAAAGGTTGAACAAGTTGTTTGCGCGTGACTGCAGAGCTCAGCGGTGGTGAACGAGCGGCGCAACTCAGCTGCAAAACCAAGGTTTGGGGGGGAAACATGAAGGACCATGAATCAAACCGTGGAAGAGTAGGGTAACAGCTTGTGAGAGAACGAGCAGGTACGTCCAGCTGGCCAAGCTGGATATCCCACCAGATTGCATAGCTTTGTTAGACACGGTCTGCAATCTGGTGCCATGTCCCCCTGCTTGCATAACAGAAAGATAAAGAAAGGCAGCACCCTTTGGAACAGGGGTTGACACACACACGGCGCCGCTTGGCGGCGCTCGCGTGGAAAGCCTGAATAGATACCTAAAAAGCCTTAGAAACAAAAGAAAGAAACACAGAAAGAGCAGCGCTAAGAGGGCAAGAGAGAAAGATAGGTGTAGAAAAATGAAAAAATGAATACTTAGCCGCCCTTGACTGGGGTAGGGAAACGAGCCTCAAGAGCAACCTAAGAAGCCTGAGAGAAAGCCCACCACACGACGAAAAGCGCAAGAAGGAAAGGGGGGGGCAGGGAGGGGGTGTATGTCCATGTGTGTGTACGTGTGTGTGTGTCTGAATACTTAGCACTCTAGGGTTACTGACTACTTAGCAGAAACGAATTACAGTGCAATAGTTAGGGAGCGGGACTTTAGTCTTAAACCGCCCGGGTAGAGTAGACTAGAAAAGGGACAACAGAGGGAAAGGCACCGACACACAAGTGTGTCGAGTACCATTTCCCTGTGTTACCCTAATTAGGTAGGGAGTAGAACACGGTGGGGGGGTTGGGAAACCTGCCTCAAGTGGGGTGAATTCCGTTTTTTAGCCCGGCGGCTGTCGTATCCGTGAGAGCCCGGCGGCTGTCATTCCAGTTAATTCAAGGTGAAAGGAAGTCAGTTAGGAGAATCCAAGGTTTGGTGAAACCTATCAAAGCTGTTACACGATTTCCGGCATGAAAACGGCGCCTCCTTGCGGAGGATCACACCCAGCACCCAAGTGGGACGGCTGAGCGGTTCACACTCTGACATTGGTTTGCTGTTAACCCAATTCCCAGGTCGAAAATGGTGAGGGAACGGCATGGCGAGAAAGTCAGTTCACTTGAAAGGTTGAACAAGTTGTTTGTGCGTGACTGCAGAGCTCAGCGGTGGTGAACGAGCGGCGCAACTCAGCTGCAAAACCAAGGTTTGGGGGAGAAACATGAAGGACCATGAATCAAACCGTGGAAGAGTAGGGTAACAGCTTGTGAGAGAACGAGCAGGTACGTCCAGCTGGCCAAGCTGGATATCCCACCAGATTGCATAGCTTTGTTAGACACGGTCTGCAATCTGGTGCCGTGTCCCCCTGCTTGCATAACAGAAAGATAAAGAAAGGCAGCACCCTTTGGAACAGGGGTTGACACACACACACACACATTCTTGTGGAGATCAGTGCCTGCGCCTGCCACGATGTCGGGTTCACCAGCCTTGTAGCCATCAAAGCAGCAGAATAAGTTATGGATGACTATGGGGGCACTACCAAGGCTTGAGTTCGGGAGCATACAAGATTGATTGGTGCTGCTCAGTGCTGCTCCGCTTTCTTCTCGGCCGACGTCGTGACGTCGCTCTGAGGTGTTTACTTGGCGCTCAGCGGCGAGGTTCTGCACAAACTTCTCCAGCCTCCCGAGTCGCAGGTCTCTACAGCGGGGTCTTAGCATGGCTTAGCATCGCTGCTTGGGTGGCCCCTCTGCATCCTCTGCTACTGGGCATAAATAGCTGTGGAACAAAGGGGCCCAACCAGCCCAACCCAACACACCACATTCGACAGAAATAGTAGGTTGGAGGCCATTGCTAGTAGAGAATAGACAGAATTCTTACTGCAAATGCGATGAAACACCTTGCGTTTAGCACGCCTTTTTCTTCAGTCCACTGCGCTGCAATCACATTGAAAGTTTGAAAGGTACACCACTTCGAGTGTTGGTGCTTGCTTTCGTCTTCCTCCTTGATCACTGTCTATGCAGCATCGCAATTGGATGCAATTGGTATCATCCGCAAGTAAAGGTGATCAACTTTGGGTCACCTCCGGAGTCGAGGAGGTTCCAATCGTTTTTGGCATTGAGCCTTGTGACGGTCATGTCCGTGCCCTTGCAACATCCAGCATTGGGGTGAACGGGCTTGAAGCCCGATTTGATGCAACAAATTGAGTCTTGAATGTCGGGTATCCACTTACATGTAAGTCCACGTCCCACATACGTATTCTGCCCAGCACACTTCTGCTTTCTCGAAAAAAGGCTCTTCAGGCCCTTCTTCTTGGGAGCACATGGAGAATTAAGAGCCAGCTTGCAAGTGCCTGTTTCAAGTTCGCATACCAAGCCTTTTTCGCAGCACCCCTCTGGCTGTTTGTAGTAAATCGTGCTGCGGCAGCCACATTTCTCTCCATACTTCGGGGGCTCTTCTGATGAATTGGTTTGGACCATCTCTGTGATCTCCATGTCAAGGTGATCAACAATCCGAGTGGATGATGCAGCCGTGAGGAGCATGAGCATTGAGCAAAAAGCCATTCTCAAATGTAGAAGATGTCAAGCAACTTGAACTGCTGTGATCTGGGGGCTACCTGACTTGATCCAAGCTTTGAGCCCACCATGTCTTGCGATTTGTTGGTCTTTGTTCCCGCTGAGCGGCTGAGCAAACAGAAAAGATCAGAAAAGATACAATTCCACTTCCACCAACTTCTGAAAGAAGGAATTGCTTGATGAACAATAACAAATGATCAACTTCTGACGAAGTCCGGAAACCTGCACTCTTCTTACAAGGGCAGAAGTCTGGTCTTCGCCTTTCTAGGCGATACGGCAAATCATATGCTGATTAGCTATATAGCTATGGGACTCGCCCTCTCTGACGTCATGCTGTGGCAGCTATCAAGCCATATCAAGCCTCTAGCACCCTGGGGCTTTCCCATCTTGAGCGTCACCCTTGTTGGGCTGAGACCGGGGCAAACAAGAATCTCCTGCTGAAAAGAATAAGCAACACTATAAGCAACATATTGTTGCTCTGCTTTTTGGCCAAGGCACTTTGGACACAAGGCCGACTATTTATTGACACACTCCAGGGTGCTTGACATCAATATCATGCATTCACCGCAAAGGTCTATGAGCATTAGCCATCACATGTCTTTGCTTCAAAAAGGCTTGCTCCAACCACCCTCAAGCTTGTCCCACAAATCCTCAAGCTTTGACCTACCAATAACGGGTCAAGAAGAACTCCTCCCTCTCAGGTGTGGCCGCTAGAATGGACAGAAAAAGTTCCAGCGCGCTAAAGATGGGAATGACCTAGCTCAGGTCGTGCTGCAACGCTGACCAGAATCAGCACGCCAAAGGTGAAAAAGTGTCTGCATCGATGCTATCAGTATGTAAATTCATCTCCAACATCTGAATAACACCCTTTTCTTTGGTCTGTTTCTTTGATGATTGCAGGCCTGCTCTTCCCTGTTGACAAACTTGGGAGCCTGTAAGGCATTGGATGGGATTAAGTGTCTGGAATAAACTTGGAACGGAAAGCTTCAACAATGTGCATCTAACACTGAAAAGAGCCAACCAAAGCACAGATCAAGAGCATGCCTCGATCATGAAACGTTCGGGGCCACCAGACCTTACTCAGTTCATTTCCCATTGCAGTATATTATAGTTTCAATACATGCACGTGCAAGCTCAGTTGTGATGTGTCATCAAAGAGTTTTTTCTAGACATATACGCCAAAGCTCAGGATTTCAGCATGTCTGCAGTTCAAGCCACAGATTAGAGAGTCTGTCCCAATCAAATTGCTCCGTGAGAGTGTCGACATCTCCTCCGACGATAAACAAATTCTCAGGATCCTCAGCATCATGCAAGAGCGAACCTTTGAATAAGCAATGTTCTCAAGTTCCTGAAACCACGTGCTGGTGCAATATGCAAAACCAGGAAGAAATCACCTTGCAGTACTATTGTTGCAGGAATTAATGAGCACTGTGGCTGTAGCCTGTAGATGAACCTTGTAAGTCCCCGACGGCCAAGTAAGGGGACAGCAAAGACACGTACTCTTCAGCCTGCCGCACCAGATCGCACCAGACCCTCTTTGGACAGCTTGTCAGCTCATCAAATGGCCCGACACCGGGCCTTTTCAGTCATCAGTCCGCCCACAAGAATTGGAACCAGCGTAAAGTGCTGCTCCTGTGAGAAAAGCAACCAGAGCTGGGAACGCAGGTTGCGGATCATTTGGAGTTGCTATCGTGGCTGGTTGTGGGTGTGAAGAATGCAACTTGTTCTCTGCAGTCGGAGCCTCAGTGCTCGTGTTTATCCACAGGGGCAAGCACCTCCCTGGCACCTCCCGTGTAGTGCCGGTGTAGTAAGCGACTTTTGGAGCTCTGTGTGAGTCCATTCTGATGGGCAGATTCTGGGATATGCTGGGGTACAACCATATATTTATGAGGGTGTGCAGTGCACAGAGTTCCACAAATACGGAAGACGATGGAAGACGCGTCCAAGTCTAATACACCACATATGTCAAGGAAAGAATCCAAGCTGACTCCATCAGTAGTAACAAAAAGCTACTAGGGGCTCCTGGTATCGCTACTAGGAGCAAGAAGCTGACGTCGACATGCCGGACCGTCCCGAGCCACCGGAGCCGAGCCCTCCTCCGAGACGCAGCTCCGGACGAAGGGCAGGAGCGCTTCGATGGAGCGTTCGCGCTGGTCCTGAAGTGGCAAAGGAAAGCAGGTCGGATGGCACGTTCAGAGAGAAAGGGCCCTGGGGCTGTTATTTTTTTCTCGTAAATATGTGACATGTTCTGAAATCTCCAAAAAATACCAAAGGTGAACTCAGAACAGCTGTAGATAGCCAGTTGGGTTTGGAAGAGTTGAAAGGCTATGAAATGCTCTGGCGACTGCCCCTGCCAGGGATGAGTGGGGATCGGCAGTGTGCACCAATTTTCAGAACCTTTAAAATCCATTCATCTGAGGATAGCAACAAAAGACGGTACACACAACCCCACCAATGACAAAAAAAGACATCTGCGTCTCCGCAATTTTGGAACAAAAACAGGAAACCAAGCTTGAGTGCTCTAGAGTTGAACGCACAGTCACAGCAGTCCAAAAAAAACTCCGCGAATGGCTCTTGCAAGGAACCCAGCAGCCCGTCCTGATCGACAGTGAGCACTTGAAAGGCCTGTCGACTGAGGACTGAGGCGGTTCGAATGGAAAGCTGCACACCTGCAGACCCTGATTCCCAAAGATCAATCTAGCATTTGCTGTCGGCCCGACAAAAAAAACAATTCATGACTCGAAGCGACACATGACCGAGGGACGAAGCAGCGACACAGGCGACACAGTCGACCTTCGAGTTTCTGAGCTGCTGCAAGCAGGGAATGTCCAATGCAATGCTGCCATACCTGGTAGAACATTAGGAGCAAGCACGCTACTACGGGCTCCTCGCCTTACTACTAGGAGCGACCGGACGCTACTAGGGGCTCCTGGCCCTACTAATAGGAACAAGAAGCTACTAGGGGCTCCTGGCCTTACTACTAGAAACAAGAAGCTAGTAGGTGCTTCTGGCCTTGCTACTAGGAACAAGAAGCTACTAGGGGCTCCTGGCCTTACTACTAGG